GGGGGGGGGGGCGGGGGCTCAATAATGACTAGAAAACGGGGGCCCTGCAGAGAAAGTTTGGGAACCACTGCCCTAGCCCAACCCAGGCTCACCCATCACTCTCAGATGTGTAGACCACAGGCAGCCGGTTCTCCCCCTCGATTCCCAGCTCCATCTGCGCGGTCTCCAGGTTGCGCTCAAACGTGTCCACACTGCCAATGTTGAACCAAACATACTGCTGCAGACAGAAGACCGTGTCAAGGAGTTAAGCTGGAGACCAAACACAGCACCACAGTCAGGCAAAACAGGAAACTCCCAAGTGCATGTTCACACTTTGCTTTGTTACAGTCTCCCTGTCTATGTTACAGTCTAATGCCATGAGCGCAGCACATTTTAACAATGGCTACAAACAAGCAAATGAAAACCATTATTTACTACAACTGCCATAACGAAAGGATAACCAGCCAAAACGTTTGAAGATCCCATTACAGCATCACACACAAAATCCTAACATCAGTCACCAAAAACTGATGGGACTCACTCCATCCACTGGAGCCTTCCCCTGAGAGAAGATCACTTTGACGTAACGCTTGTTCGTCACCTCCAGCCTGTCCACCTGCAAAGACGGGGGAAGTCAAACCCAGTGCTACTGCAGGAACCAGCACCAATCAGTGATCATTACTGATCCCAACAGAAGCAAATAGATAAACTAAACAGACAAGCAGTCTGCCATTCAAATTAACTCTGCTGGCTCACAGGAGCAAAATACTCACAACTCCTTTCGAGAGGTAATTGTTGACAAAGTCCTTCCAGGTCACTTCTCGGGCTGCGTTTCGGAAGAAGAAATAATATCCGACTGTTGTCCAGAAGGCCGCCGCACTCAGGAAGTACATCCGGAATTCCCGGTCATCCCAGGGCACGTCGCCCTGGATGAAAGTAAGAAACAGGAAGGAAAGAAAAACAAAACATAAGCCCCATAGGTAGGACGCCATGCTCTCCGAATTTGGCACGACAGCCCACCTTCTGCAGCCGACTCCACCACGTAGAGTCCTCCTTTCTCCCTCCTCTTCTGCCCCCGCCTCCTGTTGAGCCCCCACCTCCACCTGCTCCTCCACCTGGCCCTCCACCTCCAGCTGATTTCCCTGGGGGCCGCTGGGCATTTGCAGGCTTGGCTTCTGGTCCGGCACAAACACCAATCAATGGTCAAACCTTCATCACGCGATTGCAGTTATTTTACTTCAGAATGTGCAACAACAAAAACACAAGTACGGAGAGTGCAAGCCCTTGTGTACTAAACTCAGTGTGCTTAAATCCGTAAGCAGTATTGGGGGGGGGGACAGTACCTTTTGCTTCTGCACCGGGGGGTTTGGTTTCATTGTTCTTAGGACCATTTTTGCAGTAAAATCTCTCAAGTCCTGCAGATAAAGAAAACGAAAGTCAGTATAAGCTTTAACATACAGTATACATTTTAGAATTAAAAATAGAACAAATTACATTAAGTAGTAAAAGAAAACAAACATGTCCAAACCTATCCAAACAAGTAAGTAAACCATAGGTAAATCATGCTGGTACACACTCCCTAGCCCAACCCAGCCTCACCCATCACTCATGAATTAACTGTGATCAACCACAATAATTGGAAAGCAGAGTTCAATTTCACTAGCCACACCCAGGCATGATCACTGCCAGACCAGGTCAATCAAGAAATCGTTGAAATGATACCTGTCTGACAAAGTGAAGTAGCTAAAAGATCTCAAAAAGCTACACATCATGCCACGGTCTAAAGAAACTCCAGAACAGATGAGAAACAAAGTCATTGACATCTATGAGTCTAGAAAGGGTTACAAAGCCATTTCTAAGGCTTTGGGACTCCAGCGAACCACAGGGAGAGCCATTATCCACAAATGGAGCAAACTTGGAACAGCGGTGAGCCTTCCCCAGTGCGGCCGACCTAGCAAAATCACTCCAAGAGCGCATCGACGACTCATCCAAGAGGTAACAAAAGACTCCAGAACTGCAAGCCTCACTTGCCTCAGTTAAGGCCCTTGTTCATGATTCAACAATAAGAAAGAAACTGGGCAAAAATGGCGTCCATGGGAGAGTTCCAAGGAGAAAACCACTGCTGACCTAGAAGAACACGAAGGCTCAGGAAGGCGGTAAATACTTTTTCACAGCACTGATTAATATATGATATGTAATATATTATATATGACTATATAAGCCATGAAAAAGTAAAATTGAGACCACTATATATTTATACAATTCTGCTTTTTTAAATCCTGGTTTAATCCTGGTTCTGCTGGCAGAGGCTATGCTGAGTAGCAGGATGCTTCCAGGCTCAAAGTTTCTAAGACAGCAGAACAGAAGAATAAGGTGAAGCAGGAGACACTGGGAATAACCAGAAACCAGCCGGGTAAAGGGCAGAAGCGACTTTCTAATACCGAGATGACTGTTAAATCATGAATCGGAGGATGACATCAAGTGACCTTCAAAAGGAATGGGAAGCATTAAGTGCAGGTGTGAAGTGCACTGCTAGGACAGTTTATGACTCCTAGAAGCAGGACTGAAGTCCCATAAAGCAAGGAAGAAGCCCTTCATTAATGAGGAACAGAGAACCAGGCTGGAGAAATGAGTGAAACAAAAAAAAATGTGTTGTGGTCTTAATTTTTTTTGAGGCTGTATAAATACACTTATTTTTCTGTTGTGTATTATTTTCTTTCCATTCCTAATACTTCCCAGTCCTTAAAAACTAGCAGATTGCTTTCGATTTTATGAAGTTCAGCAGTTTTAAATCCATTGAGTCCACCGGTGAAAGGAAGGAAAAAAAGAAAAATGCTAAATTAAAATGCCCAAGACAAGTTTTAAGGCATTTCGGCGAAGGAACTACAAAGACGCGAGATCTTGATTCGGGTTTCACAATAAGTAGCTACCTGAATATGGTTCATGCACAGAGTTAAACGCTACTATTTCTTTATGGACTAAGGATCTGGAATAAAATATCTCCGGAAACCTGCCAGCCAGAAGCAGATCTAAAGGTCAGAAGCAGATCTATGGTCATCCCAAGTAAATATGTGGCCACCCCACATCAAAATAATAAAAAGGAAAATATGCTTCATTTAATTTTCTAAGTAGAACCATAGAATAGACAGGGTGAGGTGTGGCCACCCCCAAAAATTTAACTGGCCCCTGATGCCCACCCCAATCAAAATTTTCTGCCGACATGGCCACTACCTGCAGTAACACACACATGGACGTACGGGGAAAATGAACCTAACCAGGATTATGATGAACATCACCCTTATCAGCACGTGGAGGGACAACAGACCTTTTGCACCTTTTGCCCGTGGGCCAGTGAGCCTCCTGTAGGCTCCCAGCACGTCCGCCAGCAGAGTCGTCCTGTCAAATGCAACCTGGGTATCAGGTCGTCCGGAGACCTGGAACAGATACAAAGGTGTCAAACCCAGACCTCTCTGATCTAGGTAACCGTCATAAATAATTATCATGCAGATCATCAGACAACGACTGTGTGGCTCAGGCTTTAAAGCAGTGTTTAGATAGAAAGATTCCCCTTAATGTTCAAGAGATCGCGTTACATTTAAGGTTACGTGTGCCCCCGTGTGTGTACGTAGTTAAAGTATTATATATACAGATAAGAAAGGCAGAATCCAAGGACCCGGCAGCGCGCATCCCGGCCAGTTCTCCGCGAGGCCCGATCTGGGCTTTCGCCGTAGCAGGCCGCCGTGTTACCCCGCGCAATGTCGCGTGCAGGCCTGCTCTACAAGACAGTCCGCGCCGGAGACCCGTGGCGGGGGACGCAGAGACCTGCCCGGTGCTGGCTGGGGGACATCGGCGGCTGAAGCACGGGCGACCCCAGTGAGCCCCCGCAAGCGAGGCAACGCGCGGGCAGACATACCAGGCGTGAGGCTCCGGAGCGCACCGCCGGAGACAGCGCGCACTGCAGGAACGTGCGGCAGCCCAACGACAGCCGAAGGTAGCGGTGGGCCATGGCGCGCGGTGCCGCTTTCCGTCAGATATCGGGACAGGTGTCACGGTAAACTGCTCCGCCGCACAGAACCGTCATGCTTCTGTTTACGTGCGTGCGTCATTACGTCACCGCCCGTGGCGTGCATCACCAGGGACACGCCTACTCCGCTCCTGCCCAAGGTGACTGGAGTTATCCAATTCCAATCACGTTCACAGCCTTTTATGTGTATTTTTATTGTTTTTTATTTTATTGTTTTTATTTTTATGGTTAATTTCAAACTGCGTCCAGATTATGTGTTTATTTTTATGCCCACCTATGGTTTAACCGGAGCAACAATTTCTTTTTTCCTATATTGCAACACGTTATATAAAAATATGTTTATACAATTGCTATGGCAGCCTGGTGGGAATTTGAGCTACTTACTTTTACAGGTTAGGCATTCAAGTACGACATGGCATAGCGCAAAAGTGATGAAATCGATTCTCTATTGATCGGAATTTGACTTATTTCCCTCTCATGTAATTTGCCATAATGACCGCTAGATGGAAACCTTGGTCATACCAGCGAAGAGCGTGAGCATTACAAACATTATTGTATTCAGTTACTATGTAACCTCGTAGATTTTCTTTGTAAACATTCTTTCCTCTTTACTGCTGCAATTTGACTTTATAAGAGTAACGGTGATGTGTGTCTTGACCGGTTTCATCCGGTTTTAGTAGCTGAATGGCAATTATTAATATTGAATATTAGGATAACACTCTGGGGTAACATTGGAGAATTTAACTTAAATGGTTTGAAGTGGATATTTAGCTGAAATCTGACATCAGTGCATCCAGTCATGCCACACTATGACTCCCTCCTTTATTAAAAGCAATTTACATGCAGCAAATGCTTAAGCCTTATATGGACCTTGGTCTGCAATAAAGGGGCCAGTTTAATGGGCAAGTGCAGGGACACACCACAGATCCTGCTGCTATGGATACAAAAGGGGCCGTCCCAGCAACTGAAAAAGGCAGGACCTGAGCGGGGAGGTGCAGGAGAGAGTGAACCACTCATATTCAAAAAGAGGGACTGAGGGGCAGAGTGCTGAGAGCACAGTAAGTGGCCTCCTCTGGGAAGAGGAAGTGAGTCTGTGTCACTCATGCATGTGTGTGTGGGTGTTTCGGAGAGAGAGGACGGGGCAGTTTGATTGGGTCAGCACACAGGAAGTGATCTCAACTGCTTGCTCCCAGGGTAGTCAGTGGCTGAAGCTCAACTTCTAGGCACCAGATGGAAAGTTCTCCCAAAGAGGCCCCCGGCAGCTGTGGAGGGCTGCATCACATGCCGTTCCTGAGTCGTCAGGCCAGGGCCAAAGGCGGCATTGATGGGCCATGGGGCTGCCCCGAGGAAGTCTCGCACCACGTCCGCTCAGGCTGAAGATCAGCAGGAGGAGAGTCGGGCTGGTCATCCTCTTCTGGTTCGGGTCATGGTTGCTGCTCAACGGGCTGCTCTTCATCCACAAGACCTTGCTGTCCGACATCTGCACAGATGACCGGAGTCGCAGGATCCTCCAGAGACTGGTAAGAGCTTTATGGGTTCTGGGGTTCGTGCAGACACATGTATGTATATTCAAACGCTTTCATGTGATGTCACGTAAGGGTCACATAAGAGTTACCCCTTCTGTCATCTTCTGGGGTTTGACACTATCACATTTTTATTCCTGGCAGATTCCCAAGACACATTTTTAATATAATTTTATATTTATTTTATATGTCAGATTGTTTCATTCCCTCTCAGAGTGAATCTGACACATGATCGGCCGCTGGTAAAGTGGCACAAAACGTCCACCTGCACGATAACAGGCCTCCTGTGGCAACATGTACCCAGCATGCATTTCACTCGACCTCCTTTACCAGACAAAGCTATTCCGCTCTTCACCATAATAAAGGGTGACCTCAAGTTTCATCCCTTCCAAAGAGAGACTGACTGTTTTTCTAATTTTTTTCCTTCGTACTGGTTCCTCTGGGTCCTTACAGGTAACCACCCCGTTTTCATTCTGTGCTACTTCAAGCTGTATTTGAATAGCTGCCTGGCTGATCGCCCTAGTTTTTCCACTTCCGAAGGTACACTTTGGTCTGGCAAATGCGGAATGTAACAATAACACACAGCGATCAGGCCTCTTCTGTTTCTCTGCATGTTACTGTGAGGTGGGACCACACTCGGATCAGTGCGTCTGCAACACAGCTCAACCTACAGCTTTTCCCATTTCACGGTCACTCTAGTGGAACTTTTCTGTTATTGAAAGGAACAAAAGTGACAGATCCTTAATTTCTTCAAATTTTTGTGTCCTGCATTAAACCTAATGGTACTGTAGGTACCATAACATATTTCAGTGTGACAGGAAAGTCAAGTGGATGCATATATATGACGTATGGTTATGACCCCAGCCCTCTAATCTTAATTAGCATAGGTGTGCCAGGGTGCTGCAGTGGTGACTTGCTTAGCACTGCTGCCATCCACCTCTGAGACTGGGGTATTTGTCTCCACCCCAGCTCTATGTATGTGCAGTTTGCATGTTATATTTTCCCTGTGTCATTGTGGGCTTTCCTTTGGGTTCTCCAGTTTCCCTTCCTAAGTCCAAAGGTATGCTATGGTGAATTGGAGTTGCCAAATTGTTTGTGTGTGTGCGTGTGTTTTTCCAGTCAAATGTCCTAATAGTGGGACACACCTACTTCAGGGGACACAAAGGTTCAGCTCTGGCTCCCACACTCATGTAGTGGTTGCAGTGTTATGTTTCACAGGGAACTGGCTCACTGAACTGCAGCCAGCCCCTCAACTAGGGCTGTAACAGAAGCCCGCGTGCACCACTTCCCACGGCTGGACCAGCCTGGACCTCCTGAGCTTGGCGTCTCTCTGTTTCAGTGTGAGGAGTACAGGCGGGGTATCCTGACGGGCAACCTCTGCCACGACCTCTGCGTCAGCCGTACCCTGGAGTACGAGCGCTGCCTTTACTACGAGAGCGGCAAGAAGGTGATGAAAGCTGACTGGCGGGGCGTGCCCGTCGTGCTCAAGTCCAAGCTGGAGAACTTCTCCTCCTACGAGAACTTCAGCTTGCTGGAGTACCAGGACGCTCCAGAACTTTTACCCATGGACATAGTCCTCTACGCCACCCTCGAGATGAAGAACTCCCTTGGTCTGGAGGTGAAGAGCAGCACTGTGCCCCAGTTGTGGGCCCGCCGCCTCAGAGGGCGTCAGCAGAAGGTCACTCGGGCTGAGCTGGCCTCCCTCTGGTCTCTCCTGCAGCAGGAGGAGTACACCTTCTTCAGGGTGCTCCAGGATCTCAGCCAGCATGTGGTAAAGGTTCTGGGCTCGTGCGGCCATTTCTATGCGGTGGAGTATCTCATCGCCGGCCAGGCTAGGATGCAGCATCTCTTTGCCCTGGAGGAGCTTCTGGAGCTGCCCTGGGGGAGGAAGGGGGCCTCAGGCAGACGCATGGTGCTCCACATCGCCCTCAGCTTCATGGACATGATCAGGCATTTTGAGGACGACTTCACCCATCGCCTCCACCTCTGTGACGTCAAGCCAGAGAACTTCGCAGTCCGGAAGGACCTCACGGTTCGTGCTAAATCACCCTATTTTACTGCCTTCCATTTCATATTACATACTATTACATGAGTATGGAGTTACTCTTTAATACTCTTAGAGCAGCTGGGCAGCTACGCTCCCCATACTCCCTTCACTGACATTTTCACTGAGCATGTGACCCACCCACCATGTCCTCTGCGGCAGCTCACGTCCATTCTCACATCATTGGCCTTGTAGGTTGTGGCCATCGATGCAGACCTGGCTTTTTTCGAGCCCAAGATGCAAGCCATTCTGGAGCAGAATTGCACCAGCAATGACGACTGTGTCTTCTTCGACTGCAGCTCAAGGTGTGACGTGAGGAGACACAGATGTGGCTCAGAGCGCATAAACAGCAACCTTCAGGTAGGCAGTGCAGCAGGTCGCATTAAGTCTCTATAAGAGCAGACATCCAAATGAACAGGTCTGGCTCAGTTCCAGCCCCATATTTTATTACTATAGTTAACATTCATTGCTTTAAATGCAAAAAAAAAACACTAGCGCATTTTTTCCCAGAAACCCGAAACAGTCTGGCATAACTCCATGAGATATCAAGCTTTCCAAATATGGACAGCACCTGCAGAATGAGCACAGAGAAGCATCTTAGTGTGTGGGAACCCCACAGTCCAAGACAAGCACCTCATACTCACTGAAGTGCCACAAACCCTGGAATTCACATATAGATACATCAGCACAGTAGATGGGGCACAAAGTATAACTTAGACTGAAATGAAATGAAATTAGATAAAATGAAATGAAATTAAATGAAACTGAAATGACCATGCTCCGAATCAGAAAAGGACTAAGTATGATTAAAAAGAAACTGTGTACATAGTACATAGTCTGGTTTCCTGATCCACAGCACTCTCTTCCTAGGTGATATGTGACAAGATATTTAGTTACTGGTTCCCCACCGCGTACCTGGGCGGCAGGGCAGGGCACCCCCTGGAGGTGAAGCTGAGACATACTGTGCAGGAGTGTGCCATGGGGGCAGGTGGCCGGGCTGTGCAGGAGCGCCTGCTGAGGCTCCTCACCCAGCTCCTGCAGGACAGCACGGGGACACCAGCACGGGGACACCAGCACGGGGACACCAGCACGGGGACACCAGCGCACGTTGAGCGACACCGAGCAAACGGCGGCTGATTAAACAGGCCCGATGTGTGCTTCTGATACAGCAGCAGTGCAGGAAAGTACTGAACGGGGATGACCCATGAATAGACTGAATTTTATGCATTTTCCCTTATTATTTTAAGAGAAAAGTGATTTGCATTTATTACACAAAAACTACCAAAAATGAATATTCATAATATCATGACTTATTGCAACCCCTAATTTTATTTAAAAAATAAATAAATAAATAACTACTTTTGCTGATGAGCATTCGTTTTATATATATTTTCTCATATAAAATACATCATGGTGAATGATTTCTGCATAGTAATAGAGATGATGTTATACTGTATGAGAACAGTAGCATGAATAGTCATCCCTGCCCTGTCTGCTGTTTCCATGGAAGGAAAAGGTTGTACAGACAGGAGGGGAGCTGTGATATTAGACAGGCCTCCGTCCAGAGACTCAGCTCTCTATGACTCTATATTGTGAAGAGCAGTGATGTCTCTACAAACCAGCCCTGATGGAGACCAGCGACACTGTGTGTCTCCCCTCCTATAGGGAACGTTGGACCTGTATGCCTCTGGGTGGCTATAGTTAGGTAGAGTAAGCGAAAGTCATCATTTATGGGGTTGTTGATATAATGAGCGATACAGACGCACAACATCACACACGCATGCGGCTGACAACATCCGCACTGTCAGAAAAGAAGAGTATCAGTTTGTACCTTTGCTTGTCACTGGGGCTGAACTCTCAAGAGTTTCCCAATTGTACCATATAGCTGTGAGTAAATGTACCTTTTAGCCTAATTTAAGGTACAGAAATGGACTCTCGAACATCCCCAAGGTAGAAAACAACATTAATATATCCCTAATGTTCTTCAGAATCCATTTCTGTACCATAAAAAGTACAATCACCTACAGCTAAGGGTACAATTGGTAGACCCTTGAGGGTACAATACCAGGGACAAGCAAAGGTACAAATCGGAATTCTTTTTCCTGACAGTGTGGATGGGCCTGAATACTATTAAACCTGGCTTCTTATTTTCATCCCAGAAACATCACACTTCTGTCCAGCTGTGTCCTCTGGAGGGCATCTCAAGAGAAAAGCCTCAAGAATCTCGCCAGATTCTCCCATCGCAGGGCATAAAGATATCACATAAAACAGAATAAAACAATATTGAATATTACTATGTGTCAGGCCACCAGCCATGGTTCATCTCAAGGGCCTGACATTTACTCAGTAATCGACAGAACTTAGGGTGATGTTTCTGATCCCAGAAAATGTCAACAGATGCAAGGGCACCTCAGCTTGATGTCTGGTCTAATGTTGGTAACAAAACACCTACAGAACCCTGACACAGGGACAGCAAGTGGCTCCTGCTGGACCATCAGCCACATGCTTTGTGAACCTCTCTGTCGAAGTACTGAAAAATCTTCTTGTGGTCCTCTTTTGTTTCTGTTTCTCTTGGACACACACCAATTCTTTTCAGGCAGAAAGAAAAGTCCACACCGGGGGAGGGCGGGGAAAATGTCACACAAGCGGAAAACACTTCATGTGGAAAGTAGTTCTTGGCAGTGCCTGCATTGTGATTGGCCGAGTTCATGAGATTGGGTTTCCCTGGAGACAATAGCTTCTAAGCAGATTTGCAAGTCAGGCTGAAGAGATCTGAACATGCTTTTAGAGGTAAACAGCACAGCCCAAGAGCTTGGACAGAGAACCTCAAAACGAACATCTGATGAAGTGTATGACACAGTCATTTCCAGAGCTAGGAACACAGATCAGGTTTTGTAAGCTTGCGTTTAGAGGCATTGTAAACTAAATACACATAGTTTAGATGGTGGCTCAGTACTAAGGTTTACCTGATCAGCCTTAGTCATTAGTGGTCACATGGGACTAGGTGGGAATTGAGTGTACCTGATGTAACCAACAGCACACTGTCTTATGAGGAGAGGTTAGCTGAGCTGAATCTGTTTAGCCTCAAGCAAAGGAGGATAAGGGGGGGACATGATTAGATTAGATTAGATTAGATTAGACTTTATTAATCCCACAATGGGGAAATTCTTTGAGAAACAGCAGCAATAATGAAAAAAGACAGTACAAAAAAGGACATCCAGGTATATAAGATTCTAATAGGTCTGGATGCTATTCAGCCAAATGGCTATTTCAATATTAGTTTAAATACTAGAACTCGTGGCCGTAAGTGGAAATTAGCAGGAGAACATTTTAAAAAGAATTTGAGGAAGCACTTCTTTACACAGCGTGTAATTAGAGTATGGAATAGTCTTCCTGTTAGTGTAGAGCAAGCTGAAACCCTGGGGTCCTTTAAATCAGAGCTAGATAAGATTTTAACAACTCTGAGCTATTAGTTAAGTTCTCCCCAAAGAAGCTTTATGGGAGAAATACCAGTCTGTCACAAAACTAGCCATGAGAGCCATTAGGGTTAGGGGTTGGATTTAGGGCTAAGAATTAGGGGTTAAGGTTAGGGATAGAGCTAGAGGGATAGAGGCTTTTCAGGAAGGGAATCTCTGCAGCCAGACCACTGAGACCAGCTTGCTGCTTTCTCTTGGAACAAAGCAGCTCTTACAGTCCACTTTGGCTACATCAACATGACAGGGTCTTTCCGTTTGAGGTGTCTTTGGGGTCTGCACTTGATTGGCTTTGAAGGGCAGGTCCCAGGAACACTCAGCTATTTACTCAGCCTTCGTTGGCTCAAGCTTTGACCATGTTGTATCTAAACAGTTATGTAAAGGCAACCGAAGTAGTAGACCTGGCTCTTCTGCTGATCGTACAGGTAACGTGCTATTGTGAGGAATTCTCTTTAAACATTTTGCCTTATATGGGTTGTGTAGCCTCACTCACATTTGGAAACACAAATAAGATTTCTTCCTACTGGGGAGTTTTTCCGTGCCTCTGTCGCCTCTGGCTTGCTCCCTGGGGCCATTGGGCAGGGATGACGTAAAGCTCTGTTAGAGAATGTAACAATGTGAAAATACACTATATAAAAATAAGGTGAATTGAACTGGAGTTGGTACGGTAGCACAATTGTTAGCATTGTTGCCTCACTCCTTTGGGACCTGCGTTTGAGTCTTTGTTGAGGTTCTGTGTGTGGAGTTAGCATGTTCTTCCCAAGTCACTGTGGAGTTTTCTCTGGGTGCTCTGGTCCGCCCCCTCCCCCTACAGTCCAAAATATGCTGAGGTTAAGTAGAGTTGCCAAATTGTCTGTAAGTCATTGTGCCCTGCAATGGGTTGGTGCCCCATCCTGGGTTGTTCCCTACCTTGTGTGTCCATAGGCTCCAGACCCCCTCTGACCCTGACTAAGATAAGCAGTTACATAAAATGGATGAATTGAAGTAACTTTGATTAATAATAATATTTAAATGATCGATTTACCCATGTGCTGGTGTTATTAGCTGATAACTTGTTGATTTTTGTCCTTATCTGTCCACCCATCCATCTTCTAACCATTTATCCTGGTCAGGGTCACTGAGGGGGGGAGGGGGGGGCTGTTGTCTATCCCAGGCAGCATAGTGCACAAGGCTGGGGCTTAGCCCTTATGACCGGGAGAAATAAAACAAACATAGCAATACAGAGAATTTTCTGATGACTGTGAATGCAGGGTGTCGCCTTTCCTATGTCCCCTGGAATGGGCCCCACCCCCGACCATTTGTCATCTTCAATTCCGACTGTAAGATTTTCTTAGCAAATGCAGTCTGATTAAGTTCGGTAGATGACATCAATTACGTCTGCAGATGTGACCAAAAGGTGCCTAACGCCCCCTGTAGGACAATCTCAGAATATACCTGATGGATAACAGGGTTTTGTGTGAGGAGGAAAATTTTTTCAACTAGCTGATAAACCAACAATTTGTCAAATCACAAATCATTATCTGACCAGGCCTACCTTTAGAACTTGTATCTGACTTTGACATTCAGTCCTGAAATCACTGCAATAGTAAATACAGCTTTTCTGCGACCAAATTACTGATACTTTACAGAAACCTATCTGTAAGTCCTGCAGGGTAATAGAAGTCCATGTCTCTCCGGATTGTTAACTTGACCATGACATGAATTTATTACTGTGCGTACAGCAATTGATTTTGGTACAGTTTCAAGGTAAATGTGACCTTTGAAAGAGAATCGCACCCAGCTAAGGAGGTTAATCGTGTTTGTCATGGTCTTTGCACGTCAGCACACGTAGTCAGCCCCCTTAGCACCACAAAAGTAGCCAGATAGGCCCTTCGATTAATCTCATTGTTCACAGAATAACATACCTGCATATTATATATTTTAACAGATCATTTTAACATATTCTCATTTATTGAAAGCCTATAGCTAGTTTCCTAAGTAAGCAGCAAATGTTTTATCTTGTTATGAACATGGGTGTAAATAATGGGGGGGTTGTAACCCTCAGCTAATCCAATCCTCTGGACCCCCTTAACTGAATAAAGGCCTTGTAAATATTGTCAATTCGTTATAAAATTCTAACTCTTGCGAGTTAAGCCTAAGTGACAAGCCACCTCATTTCACAGAATCCCAGACTTCCTAATTTGAATGAAATATTTCATGGATTCATATTCATGTAAATTCAGTGATCAAATCATACTCTATTATTTTCAAATATGTGTTTTCACTATACATGATATTTAAGATGTTGTTATAAAGTCTTTAAATGTCAAGAATGAAACTTGATTTTGTGGTACATGACGACTTGCACGCATATAGGGCGCGCTTGTGAAAGATAAAGCTGAAGGAATTTCAGGGCGGAAAGCATTGCGTGAGAACCAGGCTTCCCAACATCTCTCTCTCTCTCTCTCTCTCTCTCTCTCTCACTCTCTCTCTCTGTCTGTCTGTCTCTCTCTTTCTTGCAAGCTGAACTGCGATTGCAATTCGCTGAACCCTCACCTAGTCGCTATTCGGGTGCCTGCCGTGCAGAGTTTGACGGACACTCGAGTGGACCAATCCCCGAATCCTTGCCGGGCAACCGAAACTGGTGCGGACCAATCCGTGTGGTGTGTACAAGGCCAGTGGGCTGAACCAAAGGCGAAGCGTAGCTGTGCTTTAACAAAGTTAAATCTGACACGTTTTACAAACGAGTGGCTTGCGTATGCAACTTCGCGGACATGGAAGGCAATACTGCTAACGAGCGGACCGTGAAGTACTACCGGCTTTCCGAGGTGGAGGAACGGAATTCGAGCAAGAGTACCTGGATTATTATCAACTATAAAGTCTACGATGTTACTAAGTTTTTGGAAGAGGTAAGATCGTGCGTTTAAGGGACACACTGTTACATGACTGTTGCTGGACATGTATTAGATGACCCGGGCAGGAGACGCAGCAGTTGCTATTGTATGTGACGCCAGTTCCCGGGGGTCTGGCCCCTGGAATGTGCTCCCTTGAGCTGTCCCGTGTTTTCCTGCTATGTACTCCCGGATTTACCCGACTCTTTACTTTTTAGCCATATTTCGAGCTCTTCCATGCATCCCCCTGCTATGTGCTTCTGGTATTTAATGTGTTTGCGTAATCTTCTATGAGCTCTTCCCTATGTATATTCACATACAAAACTACTGCATTTCATAGAGCAGGGGTACCCAATCTTATCCGCAAAGGGCCGGTGTGTATGCAGGTTTTTGGGATAACCTGTAGGTCAGGTGTTCAAACCCAGGTGTGAAGACTCTTTCAGCCAATCAGTCCTCTAATTAGTAATCTAATTAGGGAGTTGCAGCGAAAACCCGCATACACATCTGCCCTTTGCGGATAAGATTGGGTATCCTTGTCATAGAGGTTTTCATGGACCACCGCGGTTCATTCTGCTTAACTACCACTGCTGCATTTTCCGACATGCTGGTTCGCTGTATCTTTTTTTGTCTTTAAAACATTTCTAGGGTATTAGTTATTGTACAGCAGTCTTGGTGATTATTATAGATCTGAATGATATACAAAGAAATTGTAATGTATCGTTTTAATTATACATGTTACGCCTTATATGCTTCTGTCAATTATTAACCAGGTTGAACTTATTATAATATGTGATCGGCAAGATTGAATGGGAATTATCGACCACTATGATTGCCTTATGATTAGAGAATAACGCATACAAGTAATAGGCAAACTTTTAAAATGAGGTGCTGTTCATTCATATTAGTTTGCCCTTGGGATGAAACAGGTATTGTTTTAATCTGAAGTCATTGACGTCTTGTGTACACTGGGCTCAGGAAACTTATGCTTTGTTTTCGTTTCTGATTTTGTAGATTAGCTAGTTGCACACAGCTTAAGAAATTGTATAAAAATGTTTTTCCGTAGACAGGAACTCATTAAGAAGCTAGGAAGCAATGTGTCAGCGGTCACTGCTTTGCATCTCCTCTGATTTTTCTAACAAGCCTCTTACCCATCTATGGTAGAACCACTATAAGTTGCTTCATGTCCTGGGGGGTATTAAATGGGAAAACTGTCCAATAGGAAGAGAGGTACATGACATTCCTATTGGACAATCCTTACATTTGGTTTAAGTTCAGTGGCTAGTGAGGAAATCCTGCCTTGTAGAATACATTTTTGCTAACAGGAGCTGAGAGGGAGCAAAAACATGGACTGGCTGAAGGTCCCCATAGATCTGGTTTGGAAATGCTGGTCTAAGGTGTGCTTGTAGTTGCATGTTTGGATTTTTTTTTCCACTTTTATTTCACTAATCAATCTTTCATACTTATACAGCACAAGGTCACAGGGGGCCCAATCCTGGGAAGCACAGGCCAAACTGCATGGATACCCTGTACAGGAAGCCAGTGAATCACAGAACAAAAATTCACCAGAGCACATGTCTCTAGGGCAGTTTCCTCAACCCAGTCCTTGGGGATCCCCAGACAGTTTGTGTTTTTTGGTGACCCACAAACCCGTCTGCCTCACTATATACTTACACAATACTACGCTTACACAATGACTAGATGATGTATTACATATTTCATAACATAATCTGCAGATGGGGCATGGAGGCAAGACATGGCAACATGAGAACTGAAACAAGTTTTATAAAAACTGCACATAGTGCAGTGTGATAATTGTCCTGATGCAGGATGTTTTTTGTTTTAAAGTTGGGGGGGGGGGGTTCAGGTACTGGGAGCTACAAGGCAGCAGGTTGTTGAGGAGCTGGCAGTACTGGCCTGGATGTCCTAGTACCTTCTGCCAGACGGCATATGTAAAAGATCAGTTTAATGACTGAATTCAGAGATGATGTTCTAAGCTGAACTGAGATAAGTTGTCCTCTGTGGAGGAAACATCAGATAACCTTGTGCTGATTTGTGCAGTAGAACTGTCTACGTCATGCTTAACGCAAACTGGAGGCCCTGGACTGGTGGCCCTTTTTTTGCAGACCCAGTCTTCAGCTGGGGGTGGGATGGGGGGTGGGGGCAGAGATTCTTCTCCTCACTAACTGGGTCGCTCTGCCGTCACATGACCCATTCATTCATGGAAAAGTCCTGAAAGTGGAGAAGAGAGTCATTGTCTATAAGAATTATAAAGGTGCATCACACCCCAGCAAACTTCCTGCTAAAATAAATAGCATGAAATTGTACAATGTCCTGCAGCTGCTGCATTTGGTATTTTAAGAAGCCTTGTAAGCATGATAGGTGCGTGATTTTGTGCAGGTGGTGTGGTACAGTGACGAGTTGGGTGGGGTCAGGGTCGGGGTCGGGGTCAGGGTCAGGGTCGGGGTCAGGGTCAGGGTCGGGGTCAGGGAGAGTAGGAGAAATGAATGGCTATCGGAACTTCTGTAGCACCCAGGAGAGATGAACCAGCAGCTGAGTGATTTAGGGAAAATATCTAATAGAGATTTTACTGACAGAATATTGCGATTTGGTTTGCAAATTCATTTATTAAAAGTCCAGGTTCGGTTCAATATACAGTGTGTGATAGATTTAAAACATGACACAGCATTACCTCATGAGATACCATCAAAATATTAACTGGTCTGTATTCTAATGCCAGGATGAGAACATAAAAATATGAACTGTGACATCCAACATTTATTTATTACTTCTGTAAATTAGCAGAGAACAATAAGACAATTGGTACAAAAGCTTTGACTGTTAAGTTAAAGTAATAATAATAAGAAAAATAAAACAATTCCAGTAAGAAAAAAAAATAGGGATCCTGCAGCTAATTCTGCTTGGACGCCTAATAATAGGACCTTTCTGTAACCAATCTCTGACTGTGAAATAGGCAGGTAATTCACTTACAGCTCAGCACCGCAAATGTACCATTTTCCTTGGGTTTCACGTATTTGCTGTTTGTGGACGTATACGCAGTCACCTTGGGCCACTTCTGATTGGTCAGCATGACTGGCACGCAGGGAGCATGTCACTTCTGTTGGTGAGAATGACTGTCACACAAGGAAAATGGAATGAATTTGTAAAACTGTTCTCAGGACAGTTTTAAACCCTGGATCAGCATATCCTAGATTGAGGCCTTTATGATTTGGTTAATTGTATTGTTTCGATTCGCGACTTCTATTTGAAATCGATAAATCGTTCAGGCCTAGTTTGACCCACTAAAGGATCCAGACTCGATCCTATGACTGAACTCTTTTCTCTCAAACATGAGAGACTCTGGCTGAAATGCACCTGTAAAATGGGTAGCAGTTTGCCGTACATGGCAAAGGATTCTAGGAAGAACAGCCCCCTCTGCACTTTCTTGTGGGCTCCCACCATACCAACGTGCCCGTCCAGACCTTTGCTGATTTAGACCATGAGATCTTCAAACCATTTCCACCTGCTCCTCTTGCTGGGTTCCTGCAGCCTGCAGCTCCCTGCTCTTTTTGAAGTTCATCGCTGAATCCTCTTTCTCCTACATGTAGAGAATTTATATTGATGATGTTTATGTTGATGTTCAGCCCTCAGGAGAGTTGCAGGCCCTCTCCTACCTCTGCTTCTTCAGGCCTCCCCAGAGCTGCTATCTGTTAAGGGACCTGCAGCCTTGTATGCAGAGATAGTCATCAGCTGATTTGTGGCTCAGTCTTGGCTGTGGTTTGCCCAGCTCACTGTGTGCTGATGTTTGTTCCTGTTTGCTGCACCCACTGGTCATGTGACCTGTCTTCCTGAAGCTCGGTTGGTTTCTATATCCATTATTCCCTTGGCTTAGTCAGGAGACTGGATGACAGCAGAGCACGTGCCATAGAGGTGTTAATCATTCAGTGTGGCCATCAATCATCATATTCTGTCTAGTAATGACTCCTCACCATCACGCTATAAATGTTATTGTGATGAGGAATGGAGAGAAAAACACCAGGCACCCAAACAACACACTGGGAATTGTAAGTGAGCCTTAAAAGTGTCTCTCTAGGTGATCTGGCTGTTGTAAACCCATTCGGGGGTTTGTTTTCATTCATTCTGGCTAGAAAAGCTAGCTATTAAAAGTGTGCCTGTCTCTTTAAACATTGCATCATGGCTGCCCATAGCAACCATCCCATGATCCCCTGTGCTGTGTACACACAGCATCCCGGTGGGGAAGAAGTGCTGCGGGAGCAGGCGGGGGGCGACGCCACAGAGAGCTTCGAGGATGTGGGCCATTCGAGCGATGCCAGGGAGATGGCTACAAGCTTCGTCATTGGAGAGCTGCACCCGGTAAGAGACTGTGGGCGGACCCTGTCCCCCCCAGCCATCCTATGTCCACAAGGCCGCCTTTGTTCACTGTCCACCACTGTCCACCACCCATTTCCACAGCCTCCCCTGATCCTGCTGGTGTTTTGGAACAAAGCATATAGAAGAATTTTAGACCACAGCCAGCAGCCAGATGCGTTTAGGCTTGGAGGACACAATCAATCAGACGGGGGATATTGTCGAGCTTAGTTTGGGGTTTGGTTTTAAAGTACAATAACACAACTGTAGATTTGCCTTTAGACCAAGTCAAAATACACATAGAACAAAAATAGATGTTGCTCAAGTAGGATCAGTAAAGAAAGTCCATTCTAATGTACACAGGTGCATAGGTGATTGGAGGTGATTGGATGGAATTGTCACCTGACTTGACCCTGTCTCGCACCTACACAGTGTAATACATCCGTAGGCAGCATGAGGCTGAACAGGTTAGGGCACTGTCCGTGTTATTCGGAAGGTTGCCAGTTCATATCCCAGGCCTGGCAGAGTGATGTCATTGTGAGGGCCCTTGAGCAAGGCACTTAACGCCCAATTGCTCCTGGGACTGACTGACATCCTACTTTCTCAAAAATGTGTATTGCTTTGGATTAAAAAAAGAAAGGTCTTGTAGCTCAATAATTCAAGCATTGCGCTAATGACGCAAAGGTTGTTGGTTCAAATCCCAGGGAGGACACACAAATTGTAGCCCTTACCTCTACTGTAAGCCGCTTTTAGGTAAAAGTGTCAGATAAATGAGTGCAACTTTAATAAAAGCATCTCCTAAATAAATGTAATATATTCAGCTTGAATTCTGCTTTGTGATTCCAGAAATGCTCTTGTTGCCTGTTGCCTTTATTTTGTCTGTCTGTTCACAGGAAGACCGGCCTAAAATTCAGAAACCACCGGTAAGGAGGAGGGGTTCTTCACTCTTGTGTTTAGCACAGTGGGCCGCAGGAATGTGAGCCAGTCTTGGCTGATGTCCAGGATGCTGGAAGCAGGACCCTGAGCTGGGTGAAGGATGCAGCGATTGCTCAGTGATGGGACAGAGTCCGCAGTGTCGGGGTCCACATCTGCCGTCTTCTGTTTCTTCCACTGACGAGTAGCATAGTGTCCACCTTGACAAAGCACATTGTTGTGAAGATTTTCCCTTTACTTACACTCCTGAATTCTGCTTTTTATCCAGGAGTCACAAGTAACAACTTTTCCAGATAATTCGAGGTATGTCCGCGCGGCATTGTATGACACTTTGGTTTTAGGAACTGTGGCTGGATTTTGTGTTTAAGTAGAATTTAAGTTACTTTTGGGCATCCCCACTGCTAATTTAGCACTTATAATGCACTACACTCAGAGCTGGAATACCTCTGGTTTGCTTTTGTTCTGGTTGACGGAATATCAACGTTTTACATGTCAAGTTCAGTTCTGTCCCTGATAGAATGAATGAATGAATGGTTTTGTAATTGCACAAGATACAACGAAATTAGAAGAGTGTTTCTGCCTTACATTATGGATGATTATACTACGGGACCATTGAATGCTTGAATCTGATTGGCTGAAGAACGTTCTGAGGTGTGCAATTATTTTCAGGGAAACGCACGGCGAACGTAGTTCCAGGCAGCTCTCTTGACCGCATTACAGTTCCATATCACTTCGCATAGTTAACTGTAATAACAGAAATTAGCATACAGTACCTATATATACAGCACACAGGACTAACAAAAACAACAACATGACAGACGATTTTCCGAAAGTAAATTTTAATATTTACGGTGAATAGGAAACTTTCAACAACTGGGCTGCAGCAGTATTAGACAGTCCAGATGAAAAACAACATAAACGGAAGCGGACATCAAAGGCAGCCGGCAACAACAAAAGACATAAAACGATCAGCGAAGAACAGCTAGACATACTCGAGGGAGAAAAACACCAAAAAAACAACAGCTAATGACGTTTTGGAACTGAGATGCGGAAGAAATAATCCTACTCACAATAGCGATTTAAGTAGAAAAACTGGACGAATCCCTTGAAATATATCATCTGATCGATGTCTTGAGGTGTGGCAACCGTAGTATAAGCGGAATAATTGACTCCGGACCGTTGAATTATTAGAAAAATAATGCACACCCGAGGTGTAACGGCCACTCCGCTTCGCGTCGTGGCCGCATCACCACCTCGGGTGTGCATTATTTTTCTAATAATTCAACGGCCCGTCGTCAATTATTCCTTACTTAAATGCTCTGTGTGAGCATCACGTTTACTTGTTGACTTCTCACGTTTACTTGACTTCTCACCGCGGTGGTTTAACTCTGAAGGACATTTAAACTATCGACAGATAAAATTTCTCCAGTTACTAGTATTCATAGCAAGATCTATAGACCATGTAAAACCCAGCCGCGGTAATGAGCACCCTGAAGATTATAATACTTTAACTGACAGTGGTTTCGTCCCATAGCTGGTGGACGAACCTCGTGATTCCAGGCTTGGCCGCCGCTGTCGTCACGTTGCTGTACCGCTTGTATATGTCTGAAGAGTGATGTCGTGAAATCTGCCCCAGTGCCACGATGCATATTCCCAGAGGTGCCAAACTTCAGAGTACCACTTCAGGTTGATCTTATGTAACATGTAACCCGTGTTGCTGTTATTGTTGTATTGTCTGTCTGTTTTTATTTCCCCGTGAGGTTTAAATACTAATGTATAACTTGACATTTCACATCGTTCACTAATTTTTAGGGTTTTTTTTTTTTGTACTAAACGTGTATCGTAAATGTATGATCTGGATTTTAATGACCAGTTCGTGCTCTTTTTGCATCCTTTAGAGTTGCCAAAGGTTGGGTCATACAGGTCACTAAAACGCATCCCCTGTGAAACAGTCTGATCAGTGAGTTTTATTATTGAATAAAAGCTATCACATTGCACAAGTGTGTGTACATTTTCTGTGGTGGTACCTCATTCTGCAGCTGGAAGCTCCATGTTGGTAATTCTGACTGCTGTTCGCATGCATTATGCCGTAAGGAGGGAAACCAAGACAGGATGTGTTGCTTTGTGTGTAAAATGTTTCCTGAATCAGACCCCTTAATTAACCATCTCTTAATTTGGCTTTATTGGCATATTGATGCACAGCACAATTTTGCTAATAAATGCCTTCATATTTCATAATATAAATTATTTTGTATTTCGACTTAAGTGCATTAGGGGCTATGGATGAATAGCAGCTGATTCAAAAGCCATGATTTCGTAACATTTTTTTCATTACAATTTTTCTGTAATATTAATTTATGAATTTGCTAATTATATGTGATTTTAATATTCATTCAGCACAATGCAGCCTAATTTATCTAGTCGTCAAAGCCTTTGTTTGTTTTTTGAGATAAATGTAATGGTAAACCAATAATGTTTAGTAGGATCCATCAATCCATCTGTCTAAAAGCTGCTGGCCGTCATAGAGCAGTGTTTCCCAACCCAGTCCTCGGGGAACCTCGGACAGTCCATGTTTTTGCTTCCGCTCAGCTCCCAGTCAATCGGGAACACCGAATGCCTGGTACAGGTGTGCAGGGAGCTGAAAGGAAGCAAAAACGTGGACTGTCTGGGCTTCCTGCGGACTGGGTTGGGAAACATTGCCATAGAAAGTAAAGCATACAGACGCTCTTTTTGTCTTTGCTGTGTTTATTTTGATTATTTTGTCTCTGTAATGAAACATGGAGCCGAATGGGCCACCAGCTTGCCAGTGATGTTACACAGTGAAGAGTGTTAATTGGAATATATTCCTCCATGGTTCTTCACTCTGAAAGATTCCTGTAAACAGATGATTATTTAATCTGCATTTAGTGGCAAAGCGTAACATGTCATTCTTATGCATGACGTATTGCGGTGCATTCCATAACAACTTTCATTAAATTCCTTAGAACAAGTTTTGAAATGTTCTTTAATGATGCATGTAAGAAATTATCTGCAGATATTTTCTGTCTGAATTTTTCTGAAATAAAGTGTAAATTTCGAGCTGCATGCAAGTCTGGGATTTTTTGTATTTATTTTTTTTATTCCAGAACAGACAGGGTGACTTAACTATGCTCAGACGGGTAACAGATCTGGACCTGTATCATCAAGCAGGATTTCTTGCTTACCTGGGTAACTTGTCAGATTTAATGTAAGTGAACAAAGAAAAAGGCCATTTAAACTGGGGTACCTTAAATCCAACAGTTATCCACGAAATCCTGCAGTTTGAATCAGGTTCCTGGTACATTAGTTACTCGTGGTCAGCTGATCCAGCACCCTAACCCTCTGTCATCGCCTCTCTATTCTTACCAATAGGGAGGGTCAGGGGTGTTTCTCAACATGTGTACTTGACCATACTTGTGCTCTCGTGTACCAGTTTTAATAATAATTAATACTTTATTGATCCCCATGGGGAAATTCTCTTTACGCCTCCCCCAACTTACCCTTTTTTGTAGAGTAAGCTGTCCACAAAGGGCAGCCATTTGTAGTGATATGTGGAATTGGAAGCAGCACCCAGGGAGCTGGGGGTTAAGGGCCTTGCTCAAGGACCCGTAAATGTGCTGAAGTTGGGTTCAAACTGGCAACCTTCTGATTACAGACACAGGCTTAGCCCACTGAGCCACGGGGGGGTGCTCTCTCAGGCTCTCGGAGTGAGAATAAACCCATCTGTGATTGCCACCTTCCTCTGGAGCCTTTCCTGTTTTGAAGTTTGCTGTAACAGGAAGTCAGCAGCCCTGCGTGTCCGCACTGGGGAGCAGTTATCCCCGCCGTCTCTGAATTCCTACAGGGGCTGGGTGCCGCTCTCCACTGCTGGAATATACCTGGAGGTCATGGAGATGTCTCCAATGGATCTTCTTTTCCCTTCTGGAGATATGCCTTTGAAGTTGTCACAGTGGGCCCACCCTACCTCCTTTGAAGCAGGAAGGCTTGATTAAACTATCAAATAGAATAGGGAATACTGGTTATGAATTCTTGTGAGTGCTATGGCCTCACCCCTGTGGCTTGTGGATTCTATCCCCCCCCCCCGCCTTGGTTCTGGCTTCTCCCCCACCACTTTTTATAAAGGTTTGTGAGAGCCAACCATTCAAAAGGATACCCCTTGTTCCTCTAAACACTTTGCCTTGATTTTCATGCCGCATACAAGAATTCCCCAATACCTCCATGTTCATCAAGGAACGAGGTTCTGAATTCAGTTACAATTCAGATTTTTATAGCACATTTTCATAACATTACATTGCCTCAAACCCCATTACATTGTGCCCACCCAGTGCCTCCAGTAAGCAAGCCAGAGGCGACAGTGGCAAGGAAAAACTCCTTAGAAGGAAGAAACCTCTGGAGGAACCAGACTCAAAGGGGGAGCCCATCCTCCAGGAAGTCCCTTGAGGAAGTCAAATAAACAAAATGACAAAATCCTAATTTATACAGTTCAAATTTTAAGATTTGAGTCTAAATGTGGAGGACAGGCAGGTGATGGTGCTGCTTCTGATTACAGGATGAAGTATTTGACTTCACACTGGATGCTCCATTTATGCACCATTGGCATGAATTTCCCATAATGCACTGACTTTAATTGAGTTGTGAATTGGACAGTAACCAATGGGATCACACAAAATTGATGTTACTGATTAACAGCGATTGCCAATAAATGTCACTAGCGATAAAGGTAAAACTGATACCTTTGGTACTTTGTACAGGCCTTGCTTTCATGATTTTTTCAAACAAACTGAGTATCTACCAAACAAATATGTGGGAGTTAGTTATTCAAACTCCACAGTCCACTTTCACCTTATTTTGCACACCCTCTTTGTTCAACAGATTGTTGTAATACTTGCTTCTTTAGCAGTAACCGCTTACATGTATTTACCTTGTACTTATCTAGCGGACCCATTCATCTGAAGCGACGTACAATTGGAGAGGTAGGGTGAGAGACTGCCTGAGGTAATTGCCTTGCTGAGAGGCCCAACAGTGACATCAATCTGCTGACCTGCCAATCACAGGCGTCTTAATCCACAGAGCTACACATCGCCCCCAGTAAAACCATAAGATTTCTGAAGGTTGAGCTTCTTGTTTCAAATAATGCACAATCCATTCCACTGCTGTGTACAAAATGCATATCAGCCCCTGTGTTGACCCCAGGGCTGTTTTTCAGTGTTGTTCAAAGGTCTGCTTGTTTAGTGTGAAGGAGACGCCCCTGGATGTACTGAATAAGGGGACCACAGACCAGTGTCCTCAGTTCTGCTTCTCCCTCCAAAGCTGAGAGGAAGATGACCCGCCTGCTGGTTCTGGTGCTGGCTTGTGGAGCTCTGCTTATCTCCACAGAGGCCCAGGAAAACTACCACACGCTGTCCGATTTGGTCAAGAGTGGTGTCAGACTGGCAATTACAGCTGCTAATAAAAACAGCAATTACCATATGAATTTTTTTTCAGTTCCATTAAATAATCAAGTAAGGATGAAGTAAAAGCTAATTACTTTTCATAAATTGTGATCGTTGTAGTTCACTGTTTTGCCTTATTCATCTTCCTTACCAGGACCGGATGCTGGTTAGAGCCATCCTAAGCAGAGGAACCACAGTTGAACAGGGATGGGAATACAGCTGTGTATTTGTGCATGTTATGTGCACAATAAACATAACACTTCACATTGTGTTGTTTAGGTTGGAACAAACTTCATTACCCTGAGGATTTTTTTAAAACCTACAACCTGTGCAAAATCCAATGTGGTAGCCCATCGGGATGAATGTCCATTTGACAACAGCAAGGTGAGTCAACCTGGACGAGTGGAAGAGATTGGCGGTCGCATAATAAACTAACGTACATATCTAAATTAGTCACCTTTAAACGGTTACGATTTTATCTCTGATTTATTTTGTCAGTAGTATATTAATTTTGCTTCTTCAGTGAATCAAATTTGTCTTTGACTTTCTTCTTCCGTTTAACATACAAGATCAATGTTTCTCAACCTTTCTAACGATGTGGCCCACCCATAAACAGTGGACCCTTGACTTAATTACGAACTGAATTCGTTCGAGAAGGCTGATCGTAACTAAAGTTGATCGTAAGTCAAGACTAGTTTTCCCATAAGAAATAATGCATTTCAAACCTCCCAAAGTACCCATTACCTAACCTTTTCATAATAAAAAAGGGTTGTATAATGTGCGTAATTTACCAGAAACACCAATATATTTCCTAGTGTACTCACCAAAGTCATAAAATGTGCCTAACCTACTAGAAAAAACAATTTCACACTGTACTCACCATTCAAGCTGACATCTTTGGCTTGCAGGAAGGGAGGAGGGGGAGGATGAAATGGAAGGTGGAACGGAAGATTTCGACATGCTGTACATATTAGCGAGATCGGTCACACGAACGCCACTCTCATATTTCTGAACAATTTCCTTCTTTTAGATTGTGATTGCTTTCTTTACCTTCTTTTCCTTCCCTAGCTTGTTTCCTAGCTTTATTGGGGCCATTTTGATAGCAATTATAGTGAAATTAATTATATAAAGCACTGCACTGACCGATATTACGTCCACAAACACGCGTATCTGGGCTTAGACTGACGCTAGTAACCAACGCCTCTCGGGCATCTCGGCTCTTCGTTTACAACCATACAAGTGGATGCACGTTTTGGCCTCGATCGGCATTCGAGTCATAACTCAAGACTTTGATCCTAAGTCAAAACTAAAATTTTGGTCGTAACCCAAGTTGTTCGTATGTCAGGCCGGTCGTAACTCGAGGGTCCACTGTATTTATAGGCTATACAGTACATAATATATATTTTTACATGCTATGTTTTTCCCACATAATTCACATTATGTTTGTATTTCGAGCCACCAGTTTTGCTTCAGATTCCCTTAGCATTGCCCCTAAATACATTTATAACATTCAAAAAAGTGGGAGCATGAATGGACAAGAAGATAATTGAAGCTTCGATCTTCATACGGAGCGTTTATTTCATCCATGTTACCAAGACAATAACATGCGTGCTTTGCTAATTCCGCCAGCCTTGCCGTGCGTAGGTTGATTGGCTTGAATTGCTTCACTTTCTGTGATGTGGTACTGTACGCTTATGTGTGTTACCAAATGTTGCTACTTATTGTCAGTTTATCAAATTTCCTCATTTTAATTCTCATTCAAATTTATATAATGATAAGTCGATATCGACCAGCCATATCTCGTCAGTAAATTTCGCCGACCTGAAAATTTTCCTGGGTGGTGATTCGGTTTGCGTTCGTGCGGCAGCGCATCACAAACCGAACCATGTTTCCTTCCCACTGTTACGCGACCCACTTTCAGACCGCTCGCTTAAGAAATCCTGTGCTAGATTATCCTTGTTTCATCCCTTAATTACTAGCACTTCTTTCCAAAAATACTAAACAGTGTTGAACGTTTACAGATCCTAAAAAATCTTTATGTTACTGCTCTGTTTTGACAGCCATACATTAACTGTGTAGTCTGCAGCAAGTTCACTGACGTTACCTTCAATAATCCATTTGTTGACTGCAAGACAAATGAGCTGGTTGATCAGGTAACTAGAGTTTTCTTGTTCCTGAATAATACTGCACATTAAAGTGTTTCAGTTTTTTACACATTGTGAATGTGCTCATGTGTGCGTCAGCCTCTGCAGTGTATATTTGTCCCGAGTACTGATGAATATGCAGATATTCATGATGATATAATTAATCCCATATTCTCTGTGCATGTTGTTTCTGTAGGCCCATCAGAATTACAGAAAGAAGCACTGTCGTGTTTATCTGACTGGAGGGACTAATATACATACGGTGAGCTATTAATTTTTAAGGGATAATCCTGCTATTACCACAATCTTAGCTTGTGACTTTTCTGTAAGTAACATAATAATCTTGGATATAATTACCCAAGGGTATTAAAAATGACATATACGTCTTAACGAGAATAAGAGAATGCCATGATTATTGTAATGACATCTGAGGTAAAAGAATAACCAGCCACCCTGACAGAATAAGACAGCATGATGACAGAGTTCTGTAAAATGACTGTAGGCACGTCATTAATCACTAATCGCCAATTTACCGCATAGTCACCAGCTGAACCTGTGATTGGTGCTGTCCCAACCTAACCTTTTCACTCCTTCTGCTTTTCTGTGAGCAGCTGACGTTGAATAAGCCAGAAGTGAACTTGACAGAATGAGCTGCACAGCAAGTGAATGCGAATATGAGCTGGTCGTGATTTAAGCAGAGTCTGAACAGAAGAATCCTGTGGCTTAAGCTGTAGAGGGTGGGGGTGAGCCCCCACAGTGACCTGTACTGTACCTGATCACCAAAATAACATAAAAGAACCTTCCATGATGTCTTGTCTGTTCTTATGTTAATATCTCAGTAATTAGTCCCCCACCCAGATCCTCACACACCATGCTTACCTTCCAATGCACTATGCCCCTAATTCCTTGCTAGCCATGTGCACCATGTCATCATACCATCAGTGATCTTCATTCGCTGCAGTAAACGAATCGTAACCTGGCTTAAGAAACTTCACACATTCAGCCATTGACACATATACTGCCTCCTCAACTTATAAATCAGAAGTTAACAGGTGGTAGTGATTCAGGGCACACTGTGAATCTAATTACTGATGCAATATTCAGTAGAAACAGGAGGGTCATTAGTAAGTAAATAGTGCAACAAGAAATTTCAGGTGGTGCAAACTGTATTCAAACAAAGCAAACCCAAAGTGCACTGTCCATTTCCTCCCCTGTGTTCTGAGTCCACCATTACTGGAATAAATCGCGCTTCATTACAGTTCCACAAGTTTGTGGCTTATTTTTTTTCTTATACTCTTTCTCAAGCTGCACATCAAAACCTTGTCATAAGTTCATAAGTTACTAATTTTGAATACTGTATTTAAGAGATTACGCTGTAAAAAAAAATCAATTGCGCTTCTAATTCTGAGGAAACAGAACCTCAAAAATTCTGATGTAATTCAGCACACAGAAAGAAAAACATCAGATACCCAAATACCCTAAATGTTTTATAACATTGTATTAATTGTATAGATAAAAACAATCATATTGTTTTGTTTATCTGCATCTTAGTTTACCCATCCATCCATCTTCCAGCTTACCTCGGTCAGAGTCATGGTGAGGCCTAGAAACTGGGCACAAGGCAGGGGTACCCTCTGGATCGGACGCCAGTCCATCACAGGGCACAGGGCAGGGGTACCCCCTGGATGGGATGCAAGTCCATCACAGGGCACAGGGCAGGGGTACCCTCTGGATGGGATGCCACGCTTGTCAGCTGTGTATTTCATTGTCAGTTTGATGTTTATGTATTTGTACAGTCAATGTAATACTTTATCATATTTGGGAAAGAGAATTATGACTGTTGTTCAATTAAAAGCATTTAATATTTTAATTTTCTTGCATAGTACCCTTCTCAGTTCATTGCATAAAATGCTATGCCACCCTAATTTACATTTGTACTTAACACAACATATTTATAATGGCAGGTTGACTGCCACAGTAATTGTTGTCATATTTATCATGATGTAGATTACTACTGCTGTTAGTTTCTGTTCATGTTATCATTAGTTTAACTTCTATAAATTTTAACTTGAACTGTTCATAGTCGAATATAATTGTGAATGAGTGGCATGTAAAAAAAAAAAAAAATCAATTGCACAACATCATTAGAGGGCTGCAAGGAAACCTTCATACCACAGATATGGAAATACCGCCGTAATAGCAGTGAAATTGATCGTATGTGCATATGAATACATATGCTATGTTAAAAGTAATTTTGTTCTGTTAAATTATTTCTCACCCCAACACCGCCTGGTGGTAGTGTAGCCTAGGCTGTACGAGGCTACTGAAGAACAATTTGTTTGAATACACGAGAAAAGCACTGCTCTCAAAGGAAATGGAAAAGGACTAATTTTTCCTGTTATTTTTCAAAATATTAATATTTGGATAATATGGTCTGAATAACACAAAATAAGAGCTTGGAGAAAAGTGCCAAGTATAAGTAATGTTCATAAGTAGGATAATTAAAGGCAAATAAGGAGATGTTTAATTTTACACTCTACTGTTGGTGTGTTGGTGAACGCGGGGACAGGGTGGGGACAGTTTTCGTGCACGCGAGCACCCGCGCCTTGTGTCCTCCACGTGCCCGGGGGAAAAAAAAAAAAAACAATCTCTATCCCCCGCCCAAATTATTTTCAGGGTTGCTAAGCGTGATACTCACGCTTTCTACAGATCCCCTGCAGTCCCATAGAGTGTTTTTTTTTTAAGTTATGTGTTTTGTGCGCACATGATAGTTACAGTCCGTATGAATGATCGCGACAGAGGTGAAGCGACATGAACAATACTTTTTTTCCGGTCCTTATCGGTAATCATAATAATACACTATGATAAACAGGTACAGTAAATATATAATTACTGACAGCTGTTTATTGTATTTATCGAACCTGTTTATACCTGTTTTACTATGGATTACCGATAGTGAAAGAAAAAAGTAGGCTATTGTTCATGGCGCTTCACCTCTGTCGCGACCATTCAGACGGACTGTGTAACTCAGCCTTAATGCCAAAGTAGTGCGCAGCAGCGTTGCATTTACTCCTTCGAGTAATATTAATTGCAAGGCTACTGAATCTTATTATATTGTACCCAGATGCCAGCAATGTTTTTTTTTAGGGGAACAATTCGACTAAAGAAGCGAGTAACATCAAGCACACAGCAATACGTCTAATTATGTCAATGAAATCATTTGAGAAAGCAGTAAACTCTTGAAAATTGCAAATGCAGCTTAACCTAGAGGTCTATCAAACGTAGTAAGGCAGCTATACGCAGCTAACCTGTTCCTTACAAATACTAACTTGTGCGCACTAGAGCTGGGCGATTCATGACTCACCCGGGTGAATAACCCGGATCCGTTAAATAACTCGTGTATGAATCTCCATTAACCCGAATCCATCGAGTCCTAACTACCCCATGCCTAAACTATAAAGCCCATCACGTACATACCTCTTTTAATCATCTCAAACTCATTACAAGATCAATACAGTTACAGTAGCAAGTACAGCGGCTAAAACTTCAAACGCACCCGGATCGCACACAACCATGAGTGAATTAGCTCCCTCTACAGCCGGAATCATGCAGCCGGTTCTGAACCGCTCACCCGAGCGGGTTAGCGCACTCGGATCGCACGTTCGTGCATTCATTTATCTCGACGAATTCCGAGGTGCGAGACCCAACAAATTTCGCGATCAAGCTACACATCTTGGAATAAACATGGCTGCTGTCACGTCAATAAGCGCCCGGAGCGCAGACAAACCCACCGTAGCCAGACTTCGGGGAACACGGGGTTTAATCGGACGAAAAGGCAGGCAATAAAGCATGATACAATGACCGGACTGGGGAAACAAACGGAAACGCGGACTAAATACACAATACAGGCTGACTATAACAGGCAACAGGTGATTACAATCGGGAAGTAACACGAGGTAATGAGGGGGGGGCGTGGCACACACGAGAATCGGACGAGCCGGGCGTGGCAGCTGCCTCCACGAACGCGCTGTTTTGTTGTTTTCTGAGCACAAAATTTCTTGGAAATTAGACATTTATCATTTCACATGAAAGACCGTGTGCGATTACATTCATGACTAATAATACATTTAATAAAAGAAACTTTTTGAAGTATTTATGAAATAGAGAAGCTGGACAAATCATCTCAGACAGGAGCAGCCTCAGCACTTCAAAAGTGCAACAGCTGGTATTTTTAAATGCTAACCTATAAAACAAATTCCATAGTATGTTACTATATACTTATTTAATTCCCTACAATACTTCTATATTGACTATAGACTATATTGACTATATTTGTTATTCTTAGTTTTCAGTTGCACATGTTGCTTGTTTACTCCAATTGGTGTTTTAAAATTTAACATTTAATTTTTAGCCTATATGCTCAGCAATTTGCACATTTTGTCACGCCCCGATCGTGCCGATAGTCCTGTGCCACGCCCCCCTCGTTAACCTTCCGCGTTGCACTGTGACAGAATGACCGGACTCGCTAAATACAAACCAGGTACTTCGCCGGTGCACCGGCTGAGGGAGGACATTCCAGGGGTGCCGAGGATGATCCCGGCGAATTACGCCTTTTGCGACCCCAGCCTGAACTGGCCGGAGGCTGCCAGTTTCCCCATGTTCCCCCTGTCGCGCGCTGATCTGAAATCACGACGTCACCCGCTGCTTCGTAGTTATACGGTTTCGCTGTCGTCTTAATGTCT